ATATATATATACATGAGATGGTCACACAAGCCCGCTATTGTCTCCCACGCACAGACAAAGCAATGGTTGAAAATGTAGCCCTATATGGCGCTTCTTGGGCCGAAAAACATCTGACTGCGTTGGGGATTACAGCAGGAAGTGACGCCGTACAGCAGCTAGCACACCTGGCCAATAAAGAGGGGCCGATTCTGACCACTCATGATAGGTGAGGAGCTTTAGCGATCATGCCAGCTATAGAGTGTGAACCATATTTTCGCGATTGAGAGTATCTGAAGGATATTTTATACGTGTTTGTGTGTACCTAGATTGGCATAGTTCCTGAAATAAATAAACACACACACACGCGCATATATATATATATAAATAAACATATGTATGTATATATATGTATGTATATTATATATATGTATATATATATATTTAATGTATGTCCGTATGTATGTATGTACGTACGTACGTACGTACGTACGTATGCATGCATGCATGTAAGTATGTATGTATGTATGTATATACATATATATATTTATATGTATATATTGTGAGGTTAAAAGTGAATACGAGACTTCTTTTAATACAAGATTAATATGAAGTTGGTAAAGTGAATGTTTGTATTTAGGCCAGGTATATGTTTGATATTGTGAAAGTGCATGACAGCTAAATCCAATTCTCTCAACATCACCTATTCTCATACCCTCCTCCCACACCCAGATACGGCAATCGCATAAACACCGTGAGATTTTCTCCCCACTACCATGAGTTGATGAAAAATGCCATAGAAGTTTCTCGCACCCCTAGTTTTGCATGGACACAGGACAATATGAATAAACCAGGTGCACATGTGGCTAGGGCTGTTCTGTCGGCCATGACATATCAGTGTGAGCCAGGCACTTCCTGTCCCCTCACCATGACGTACGCCTGTGCTCCTGTGGTAGGTAGTATTGTATTGAGCTCCTGTGGTAGTAGTATAGTATTGTGTTCCCGTTGTAGGTAGTATAGTATTGTGTTCCTGTGGTAGGTAGTATTGTATTGTGTTCCTGTGGTAGGTAGTATAGTATTGTGTTCCTGTGGTAGGTAGTATTGTATTGTGCTCCTGTGGTAGGTAGTATAGTATTGTGTTCCTGTGGTAGGTAGTATAGTATTGTGCTCCTGTGGTAAGTAGTACAGTAGTGTGTGCCTATGGGAGGTAGTAATTGTATGCTTCCGTGAGTATATTCTTTGCACATGTTGTTGTATGATTGTATGTGAATGGGTCTGTTTTGTACGTATTAGCTGGTCATATTGGTGTGTGTGTGCAGGTGCACTTGTTTCTATCGATACTGTTGTACTCCCAATACCATGACATCCGCCCGTGTACTTGAGGTAGATAATTTGTATTTTGTGTTCCTTATTTGATATATATATAGTGTCATGTCCGTGTACTTGAGGTAGATTAATGGGTGTTTTATTTTCCTTATTTGGTATATATATATATGGTGTTATGTTCGCATACGCATGTGCAATGGGACGATTGCTTGTATGACATATACGACCGCATGCGAAAGTACAACTACATGTTCATAGCCCATGCACCTGCACCTTTAGATAGGGGTGTAAACTGACCTGAAAATATATATGAATTCATAACCCATGCATCTGCACCTCTAGATAGGGGTGTAAACTGACCTGAAAATATATATGAATTCATAACCCATGCACCTGCACCTTTAGATAGGGGTGTAAGCTGACCTGAAATTATATATGAATCATACCTCATGCACCTGCACCTTCAGATATTGGTGTGAACTGGCCTGATAAAATATATGAATTCATTACCCATGCACCTGCACCTTTTGATAGGGGTGTAAACTGACCTGGATATATATATATGAATCCCTCTACGAGATGCTAGCAATGGCTGTATTCAATACGTATCATCATATCCACTGACATACAGTCCATCTCCAGAGTTGTATCCATGTTACGGCCCTTTTGCACTACTTGTACGCTTCAGTATTTAAGTTATTGCATTTTGCCTTTACAGCTCCGAGATAGTCCTAATATGCAGGAATGGTACGCCAAAGCAACTAATACCATATACGACTGGCAAGACAAGCCTATTTCCCAGAAGCAAGGTGCGTGCGCATGTGAATATAACACAGGATGTGTGATGTTATACCATCCTATAGTTGAATGTTTACGCAATTATATGTATATGGATCTCTGTATGTTTTTGGTATGAACAACCTACTAATGTATAAAAGCATGACGATTTGAAATGACATGCCATCTATATATTCGATCTCACCTTGTTTACTTTCGCCATCA